TCACTCATGGATCACGAAGATTTGCTGTTGCTGCATGATAACTCCAGGCAGGTGATTTCCACTTCAGTTTTTCACTCATCCCCGACCTAAGGCAGATTTAGTCGATAGCCCCAACGTATTTCACCTCCCTATCTGGATGAAGTCATGGTCCGGACTGAAGGAGGAACATATGGAGGTGACGGCTGTGTGGGTCTGACTGCAGCTTCCCCCCTCCTGCTCTGTGTGGCACTCTCAGGACACCATAGGTGGTGGCGGGGAGAGGAAGAGGTCTGTCTCGCCCCTTCCATGCTGTCTAACAGGCTGGACATGTGGCACAGCATCTGTCTCCGGAGGGCAAGGCCACACCAAGGACTGGCCTTGTAAGCCACCATACACACATAGACTGTATATAAAGATGACGACGAGGACGATGCATCTCCACTTTCTCCAACTATCCAGAATTGAAGCCAAAATATAAATACCCCATCATACTCCGCATTTGGAGCCAGAGTCTGCGCAGCAATGATCGAGGGATGTAGCTGCGTTAGTGAGGTCCTGTCAATGCACGTGTGTGAGCAATCATAGGTCAGCTGTCAAACATTTTTTTTCACCATTTTTAAAGCATCAAATTATCAAAAGCAATTTACTGTTAAAAAAATGATGTAAATTTCAACATACATCAGCTTTTTGGTGTGGCCCATGACCCATCCACTAACATGGAGGAGGCTGACTGTATGACCTGTGCCACAGCCAGCCGTCGATCAAGGGACTTTGGTTTTCATGTCATCAACATTTCTACCTGTATATAGTCTATGTTCTAGACTCAGAGTAGCAGTTACTGCAAACATTGTTCTGCTAGCTTGAGCTATATAGCCCCCTTTTAGTTGAAGAACTAGTATATACATATAGATATTTAAATTATTCTTACAACATCCATAGAGAACACACACTTTTAGTACCAAGCAGGGGAAGACAAAACACAAGGTAGTATGTGGTGGGACAATTTAACATGGCCACAAGCAAAATGTGAAACGGCACGATTGCTATATTGTGGATGAAGCCCTGCGGTCACACACATAAGGCGAGTGTTCAGAGATACGCACAAAAAGAAAATCACAAATGGTCTGACGAGACTCGTAAATCTCCCAGCGGCCGGCAGGCAGCTGGGGTCAGGCAGCCAGCAGCAGTCCTGTCAGAACAGCAGCAGCTGTGTGAGCAGAGATAGCCACTGTGATGTAGGAGACACCGCGGCAGGTCCGCAGGCTGAGAGCTGGAATTGGCCTTTGCTACTTTTTTCAAAATGTAAGATGAAGAACAGGTCTGTGTATTGGGCGGGGGTGATCATTACCATGTAACTTCATAATAGCTGCAATCCATTTTCTAGAAATATCATTGTTTCATCCACAAACAACATTTCACATGTTCAAAAAAGAAGAATCACCTCAAAGGCCTGGTCACAGTAGAAATTAATCTGGCCATGTAGTGACTGCCCACAGGGTTAGCTGGTGAAGTACTGTGGCTGCCAACATGCTACTCACAGTAACTCCCCATCAGTCCCCCCCGGCATTTTGCTCTCAGGATTCTACATTATTTCATCCAATAACTAGTTTTATTGGAGATGGACTGTCAGGTAGCTATCACGTGCTCTCTGATCCGAAGTCTCAGACAGTGATGTCAACATGGCTACTGGTATACGGCGCAGATTTAGAGCTCAACAAAATCAAAACCTCATGTGAAAACTTTGTAAAGCTTAGCTTTGCCTCACAAGCATTTCCACAAATGGGAATTAATTGATTTTGTTGTGGTCGGGACTGTTGTCTCACAGCATGAAGGTTTCCAGTTGGAATCCCGATTAGGTGAATCTAAGAACGAATGTTTGTTTGTCCCTTTTCAGGGTGTACTCTGCCTCTTGCCCAATGTCAGGTGGGATTGGCTCCAGCCCCCTTCGACCCCTTAGAAGGATAAGCTGAATCGATAAGGGATGGAGTGGATGGATGAATGGATGATTTTTGCGTGAATGTTTCCCTTTTGAATGTTGGAATTATCAGGCCATACGAAACAAGCTAGAGCTCTTTAGATTTGGACTGTAAAGTATATGTCAACTTATTTGAAGCATCAACATTTGAACCTCATGTAAAGATGTCAATGCTGTGTTAATTTAATCAAGTTTCTCTTTGACCAGAAAGTCTTGAAAGAAATGCATCAAAGCATCAAACCCTTCTCAAATGTTCAGAGTTGATCAACCGAGACAAGGGAGTGAACGACACAGAAGTAAAAATGCAGCACCAGAGCATCAAGGGATGTCAAAGCTCTTGTAAAGCCTCAGTCCATAACCCTTAAGGAGCTACCCTGCCCTGTTTTAACTATGCTACAGTATCAGCATCCTTTGGTTTCCCACTGGTATAATGAGCAGGTGGTTTCTCATTTTGTAGAAAAGAACAAAAACACATTTAAATTCAGTCATGTTGTGTGTGAAAAAGTGAAACGAGAGATGGGGAGAAACAGATTGCTGAGACTCAGAAAGACAGAGGGAGAGCGAGACTAATGAAGGTTACAGAGGGAGGGAGAGAGAGTATGTGAAAAAAGGGAAAGGAGGAGAAATGAGTCTGGGACGATGAAAGAGGGGGGGTGAGAGACGGAGAGATTTTTCTGAGGAGTCTCTCTGGATTTGCCGAATCCCCTCAGCCTCTGAGTTTCAGGACAAAGTCATAGTGACACACTTACTGGCTGGTGAGCTCACTTTCTTTCTCTCGCTCGCTCTCTTCCTCTGTCTTTTTCTCACACCGGTAATGAGAACTGTCGGTGTCTGCTGACTGCCCCCCACACACAAAGCAGAGCATTTAACAGTAAGCGGGTGTGCTCGCTCGCACACGCAGCTCTCCTGGATGGCTGCCACGGTGCCAGGACACCTACAGTGGGATGTGGAAATAGGAAGAAACCACAAGGGTCTCCTTTTTTTTTTTTAACTTCCAGCCAATCTTCATGTTAGCACCATACGTGAGGAAACGTTACATCTGCTGTTGTGTCATGCCTAATAAAACCTGGCTGTGATATATAACTACACGTATTATACTCCTGCCTTTGTTTTGGCCAGTGTGTTCATTCATCCACCTCAACAACAACAAAAGGAACCATGAGCTCCTCTCCTCTCCCGGGGTTTTCATTTAATTGACATGGCTAATTTTCTTGCACTCCACTCGGGCACACAACACAGACATCCACTGCATTATTAGAGCATAATGAGCCTACACTGTGGATAACGCTCATAAAAGCAGCATCTTGCCGGCACGGATGGTGAGAGTGTGTTTCTTACATTGTAGAGAGCCCAACAAGGAAACAAGCAGTTGCTGTCCCCAGGATTATTTCTATTATTATCGATTCAAACTACTGACAGTGGCCAAATCCCACAGTATAGTCTTTCTGCAGGTTGTTGAAGATGAATTTAAGACTTAATAGTCAAGTGTGATATCACTGTCCAAAGTACTTAAACTTCCTCATAACTGAAGATAAGGTGAAGTAGCCAAGTAGAGAGAAACCCTTGAAATGCAACGTTATCTTTCAAACTTCAGTCAGAGACGTTATCCGCAGTGATAAATTCTGACCAGGGTGTTTGTGGGCTCAGTTATCAGTTCCACATTGGTCTTTTTTGTAGTTTTATTATCGCTTGCTAATATCTTCAATCGTTGAGAAAGAACAAAAAGACAAAGAGACATTACAAACTATGCATCAGGGGCAGATTCAGGGGTGGTTGTATTGGCCCCCAGCTGAAATCTGATTGACCCCTGAAGTTCCCCTGTCCTGTCACTATCCAGTATATTCCTGATATGATAGTATATCCTACAAATTAAAAGGGAGTATTCAGCAGTACTGCTCAGGCTCATTATGCCGTATCCAGTTACCCTGCTGTCTGTAACCGTGTAAGATACTAAATGATGAATGAGTCCTCGCTCACTGCTGCTGCTGCTCGCTCAGCGTTCCCTCTGTACTGTACTCAATGGCACCGAGGACCCCGAGCACATGTTCCTCTACAATCAGTTCCACAACACGACCATATGCTGCTGCTGTAAAAACAATGTCTCATACACTTTACATCGCCTCCTTCATCTCTCTTGACTCAAACTGAAAATTCACGTAAACAGCATTAATCTGTTAAAATGCCGCAAACTGTTTTCGCACATAATTTTTGTCTGTTTCCAAAATAATGGTGTGTTTTCTTGCATTCAATTCACACTTGCTTCCTATCTAATCAACACATTCCAGCCAAGCCCAGTGCAAGATGAGGTTATACATTTACAGGGTTTTACTGCTCATAATGACAGTATAAGTGTTTGTGGAGGTAATATAGCAGTTTTCAATCAAAGGCATGTATCTGTAAATATTCAATATTTAATTTCAACCCATTTATTTGGGGAATTAAAGCAAACAAAGGTCAATAAATTGAAATTGGGGCGAGTGCAAATCTATAAAAGAATCAAAATTAGGATTTCAGCAATGTGAAAACGCTCATATCAGGCCAAGGAAAAGTAAAAAAACAAGTCCACTTCTGACAAACACCAGAGAGGGAGAAAAACAGCAGAACACATTTGCCGTTTGTTCTTTGAGCTGTTTTCGCTCCGAGACAGTGGCAGGCAGAGGAGACGTGATGAATCCCCCTTGGAGCCAGCGCGGGAAGAACAGCTGAACTTGTTCTCGCATCTCCTGCAAGGAGAAATAACTAGCTCCACTCACTTTGATGGAGAGGGAGTACACACACACACACACAGACAGACACACACACACACACACACACTCACTCACTACTGGGGAGTCGCTCATTTGTGCACATTTCCTATGCATCTCCTGTGTTTTCCTCCTCTCAACCTTGTCTGCTTTCTTTAGACTCTGCTTCCTCGCTCATCGTAGAGAAATCCACTTGTTTCCAGACAACACATCACTCCTGTCACTATCATCCTCATCGCCTCTACTGTCATTCATACATGCTCCTCATCATCTACACCAAACCTCCTTCTCGTCTCACTTACCTGTGCAATCTCGTACAGCAGTTTGTAGTGTTCCTCCCGTTTCTGCAAGGTGCACAAATTGCAGCCCATTCTAGTTGTCAGGGAAACGGTGCTGAGTGCCCGATGGAGTGTGTGTGTGTATTTTTGCTGCCTGCTTTGTGTATGTGCGTGTGAGCTCCCCTTGGGGCAAAAACACACTCCTCTTCCTCGGCTCCCCCACACCTCTTTCTCATCCGTGTATCCTCAGAGATCCCCTCAGTCGCTCCAGGCACCGCACACATGTGTTGAGTAGAGGTTGTGGGTGTAGTTCCTTCAATGTGTGTGTGTGTGTGTGTTGGTGGGGAATATATCAGTGGTAAGATGAGTAAAAACACCTGGCTTCTCCGTCCCTTACATGCCTACATACAACTCTTCCCACTATCTCCTTCTGTCCTCCACCACCTCCTCTCTCAGTGTGAGTACACACTGGCTGCACACACACTTTTGGCTCGGGAAGACACACCTCCTCCTGTGGTAGCCTGTCCACACACGCCTGCTTCCATTCGGGCTCATGAATAGACAGCATCCTCATTGGCTGTTTAAAAGAGAAGGGGCTCGGAGGGGAGGGAGGAGACTGGTCTTATCTTGAGCGGATTCACTATCTGAACATCAGTGTGGTTGCGTGCAGGCACAGTGACGGACATGCATGTGTGTGTGTGTGTTATACAGATGTGTGGCTACATTTGAATTTAAATGCATCAGGGGTGCATCTGTTTTTTTCTTTCCCAAATCTCTACAGTTCAAAGCAAAGAAAAAATCAATATGGAAAAACTCTAACTGGATTTAAAATGCCATCCGCACAGTTAATCAAGTTACTGAAAGGGCTATTTGTCAGCACACACGTTTGACAACTGGATTTGTCATGGAAATCAATCTCATTTGGATTCACTCTGATAGCCTTTTGCTCCGCACAATGGACGGAGGAGTGGTGTTTAGCGGCTTCGCCATAGATTTACAGTCGGAGAGCGATAGTCACCAAACAGATGCTTCCCTCCTTCATGCCGGCAGTGAGACAAGGGCACCGGACCGGGCTGACACACAGGAAGTTACACAGACAAGTATTGATTGGCTTCAAATTAGCTTCCAGCCCAACTGGCCCCTCTCTATGGGGGAGAGGGACGTAGGGGGGAGTGATGAGAAATGTGGAGAGAAGTGGATGGAAGACCTGAGATGCTGCTCAGATGAATTGAAAATGATGCTTATCCTTCCACAGCAGAGACATAATGTTGCACAGGGTAGTTTTGGTTTAGGTGACATACAGTGTCAATACAGCATGATGTTCATTGCGTAAATTATTGTCAGGTTTAAAATAAACGCTAAAGCATGGTATACATTGAGGCATGTGGAGCCTGTGATTGGGCGAAGATCGCAGGTCTTGGTCAGGCTCAATAGAAACAAACATTTATAAAACAACTTTTATATTGTCCTGGGGGGAGTTCAGGCCAAGGGACAAGGACAGACTTCAGCGTCTTTGCAAAGTCACTCAATGCAGAACAATGTATTGTAGTGTTTGTGTTTTTGCTTCCACTGAATATTTAGGAGATTATTTCTTTATGAAAAGCCTGTGCACTTCAAAGTGTGGAGCACCCTACTTACAATAATCTGGCAGTGTAAAGTCTGTTGTGGCAAACCGAGAACTCCCAGTCAGAAGGCAGATCCAAACTGTCTGCATGACGAATAGCCGTCACTGCTAAGACTATGAGCAGAGGGCACAGATGCGTCATCCTCCTTATCACCAGTCATGCAGGTACAAGGACCACAGTGGTTCAGTCAAGGGCGTCGGAGCAGAACCAGATACAGCCCCCCAGATAACACTTAACCCCTTTCTGTCCGAGCACTTTTGTCCCGTTCTGATGAGGTCATCGCTGTCTGCGCTGACCTCTTAAAAAGGTGACTACACGGGGTGACATCACCAACTATGAACTCTCTGGTTATTTAATTAATTTCTTGCTTGCTTTTTTCCTTCTTCCCCTCTTTCAGTCTTTCAGAGTATTTTCCACTGCTGATGTTTGCAGTCTCTCCTTGGGATTAGCAACATTACCAGAGTCTAGCTGTCACTGTCATCATACTTAAGCTCGGATTTGCTGACGGACACAACAGCACAGCTAAGAATGTGTCCAAAACACACTTACACACATGCAAGTATACTGTACATTTATTGAAAGTGTAAATTTTGTATCTTATTCCTCCACTTTTCACTGAAAGGAACATAAATCTAACATGACTAGTGTTTCTACATAAGGTGACATCATCACAGGTTCATTTATGGCCTATCCACATCCTTTTTATTGTTCATATCACTGGCTTTACATCATCTTTACAATTTCTTTCCCCCTTCATTTCATCACCCTATTGCCCCAATGTGAGCAACAGGACAGATAGTGCCCATGTTCTCATCGTGTAACTTTAAGAGACGTGGGATTTGAAACCTGCAGATGAGAAATTATACCGGAAATATTGCAGATATGCACAAACAACGTCTCTTCATCTTCATCTTCATTTGATGTCTGTACGGCTGCATGGATCGATAACGTCTTAGACAAGTGGTTAACTTCAGGGGGGACGAGGGCTGAGGTGGGTTCAAGCACCTGTACTGGTCATTTCATATTTCATGGTGAAGTCTGTCAATGGTTAACCAGAAATGTCCTGCTGCAGG